ATTTTGCAGGCATTTGTCATAGCGTGGCACAAGTTTTTGTATACCTTCTTCATAGAAGTTTGCCGCCTGGTCTTCAACCAGTTGGAAATAGTTTCTTTCAGCTCGTCGTCATTGTTGAAGTGTTGACCGCCAAGGAAAGACTTGAGATGTAAGAACAGATGAAAGTCGCTAGGAGCGAGGTCTGGGCTGTACGGAGGATGGCCAAACACGTCCCAGCCAAATCCCTGTAGGAGGTTTTTCGTCACATTTGCAGTGTGTGGTCGTGCGTTGTCGTGAAGAAAAACAACACCTTTTGACAGCAATCCTCGGCGCTTATTCTGTATTGCGCGGCGCAATTTCCCAAGTGTCTCGCAATAAGCATCTGCTGTGATTGTTTGACCACGCGGTAAGAAATCAATGAGTAAGATGCCTTTCCAGTCCCAGAACACTGTGCACATCATTTTTCGAGGTGTCAAGATTTGCTTCGGCTTAACCTTTGCTGGGGATGAAGTGTGCCTCCATTCCATTGATTGCCGCTTACTTTCAGGGGTGTCGTAAGAAACCCAAGTTTCATCTCCTGTGACTATCTGTGTCAGAAATTCTTCGCCACCTTCATCATAACGGGTCAAAAACTGAAGTGCACTACCCATCCGTTTTGTTTTGTGTTGCTCAGTAAGAATCTTTGGTGCCCAACGTGAGCAAAGTTTACGAAATTTCAGTTTTTCGGTAACAATTTCATGAATTAGTGATCGTGAGATTTGGGGAAATTCCATAGCGAGAGCACTAATTGTAAACCTGCGGTTTTCCTGGATCTTTTCATCAATCGCGTGAACCAGTTCTTCTGTAACCAAAGATGGACGCCCACTTCGTTCTTCATCGTGCACGTCACTACGTCCTTCATTGAACTGTCGGACCCATCTTGTCACCATTGAATCACTCATCGCATTTTGTCCGTAAACATTGCAAATTTGCCGATAAATTTCAATTGGTTTCACTTTCCTCGCATTCAGAAAACGAATCACAGATCTGATTTCACAAGCGGCGGGATTTTCAATCAACACCGACATTATAAACAAGCACAACAAAACGTACGTTACTGACAGCGACCTACAAATGGCACACGTTTCTTCTCCAGGATACAGAGCGTCTACCGCGGATGTGCGGAACTGCGATCGCAGCGCTGGAGCGAAGATAAATTGAAACGGAACTTACTTTCTGGACGTACCTCGTATTAGTATTTATATTATGGGTTTACCTGATGCTTCTTTTAAACCGCATAATAAATGAGCAGCATTTAATAATTTTTCGCCTTCACGGACATGTCCGAAAGCTGGAATCGCTTTTAAATAGTTAAATATTTCTAACAAACTAAGTCTAATATTTGTTTACGAAAATAACACTAACAAAGAATTAAACAATTAAGGAACCCAATTTCAAAAAAACACTGATTAACCGGTTAACTACAATATAATGGTGTCTATTCTGTAACAATTCCTTTATATTTAACGGCCTTTAAAAATATTTACTTCTTTACTTCTGTCATTATTTAAACGGATCTTTAAAATACATTAAAGTACTATCTTAAAGAAATCTGTTTAAATAATGACAGAAGTAAATTAACGAATACAAATATACTTTTAAAGGCCGCCAATATTTTTAAAGGCCGGTAAATATAAAGGAATTTTTACAGAATAGACCCCATTGTATGGGATGACCCATATTAAATTTTTTGGGAGTCTGATAAGCATCCCTGTCTTTCTTACATCTATCGGTAGATAATGAAATAGGTACGATGATTTAAAAATTGTAACTTAGTAATTATTATAAAAACAAATTCTCGAAACTTTATACTGTAACCTACCGCACCCAGGTACCTTATAATTATTTAATTCCATTTATTAAATACAATATTGCATTCTTATTAAATTCAAAATCCTTCATTTAACGAAAAATCTCCCAGCTAATTAAATCTTATTTACGACACCTAATAAATAATATCTATAATCACGTCCGTAAAATATCCAAATTTCGTGCACGTGTCTCTGAGAACGAGATCATAAAACGTATTTCTTTTCACGAAGTAATTATCATTAAAACACTTAACTCGCTTATCTTTCTAGTTTCGATGTTAAGACCGATTTCGACAATATTTTGATATACAAAGCTTTCAAGGCAAGTAATAAATAAGCCACCCACCGTATTTCGATAAGAACTAAAGACATGGAGACGTTACAAAAGCCATTAAAACTTTATTATAAAAAGCCAGACCCAAATGAACTCGGATTCATTCATTTTTAATTATTTGATGTGCATGCATTCATTTTTATTATTTGATGTGCAAGCATTCATTTATTATTTGTACCCAGTTATATTTCAAGTTCAGTAATCAGTACCTTTACTAAAACGTTTTTCCTAAACAACGTCTATCCTACAATATCTCCTATTCCCGACGCTTGCCGTCCCTAAATATTTCCTTCATAATATCCTTGTTGACACCCTTCGTCACGTTCCGCACCACCTAAATTATTCTACCGTATATCTGTCCCAATGCAGTACCGTATTAAATACCTTCCTTTCCACCACGACGCTAGGCGTCTCGACGCAAGGCGTCGCTCAACGCTGCGACGTACATAAATCGACACTACCACAACGCTAGATGAAATTAGTACTTAATATAATGTCTGTATTTTCAATGGTGAGTCAAAAGATTTATGTACCTTTCTTTGAGATACCACCGGGGTTTCGTTTAAGGGCGGGCTTGACATTTGCTACAAAATATTATCAATTTAACCACTAAACCACATGCCTTCAGGTCATACACCCCGAAGACAGGATATACATCTGTTTTCGATGGGATAGAAAATCAATATTAAGAAATATACAGTGTTGTATTAAGTTATTTCAATAGAAATTATAAAAATCAATATTTTAGAAATATACAGGGATGTGCTATTTTGGATAAATTATACAAACCAAGATGGTAAAATTTAATAGTAAGTTAACCAACTGGTGAATACACTGTTCGTTAGCTCAAGGGGTTCTACTAGGTTTGAAACAAAGTATATGTGAAATCAACATCGTAAGGTAATTAACTGGCGAATTGGCGCTGTTCGTTACTTCCGTTGGTCATCACCTCTATACTCATCGAAATATTTACCTAAGAGGGTGCAACCTGTGTATATCTAAAATAGTATCAAATCAACATAGTAGTTAACCAACTGGCGAATTGGCGCTGTTCGTTAACTCCGTTGGTCATCAACCTGAATAAGAATATAAACATCAACACAGTAGTTAATGAACTGGCGAATTGACGTTGTTTGTTAACTCCGTTGGGCATCATCCTAAATAAAACATATATTGATAACAAATGAATATGGTCTGCATTTGAACGGGACTCAAGTGAGATCTCAGTAAATAGTAACAATTGTAATATACTTTGTTAATTATTGGATCACATTTAAAGTATTAAAAATAAAAAGAGTTTAAATATGAATTTGTATGTTTTATTTATCAATTTGCACCAAACTTTGCATCGAATCCTGGTTTACCTTAATTAACATTATCACAACGTGGGTATATAAATTATCAATTAATTAACTAGACGATCACTTTTACTACTAGAGGAAAAAAGCCAAATACAGTAAGTATAAAATTTAAAGTAAAGTAACATTTTAAAGAGTTAAACAACGAACAAATCAAAAGGAGGACAAGGGGTGGGCAGTCACAGTACATATTTGCATTCATATAACATAGGTTTTAAATAAACTTATTACACTACGTATATCGTATTCTTGAATTTTTTTCAATGTGACAAGGAATAATTATGTTTACCGACGAAGAATTCATCATCGAAAAAAATATTCTTAGATTTAAATTAATACAATTTTCATTCATTTGCTTATAACTTTTATTTTAATAAAAAAATAAATAGTAAAAAATATCTGTAAAGGCAATTAATTTTTTTGATTTCAGATAATCAGATTTACTTAACCATTAAGAGTAGAAGTCAAAACATGTAAATCCGGACCTGCTTTTCCGCCTACCGGTCCCATTTTTGTATATCAAAAATATTTATGACTTATCCTCTTGTTGCTATATTAATGATATAAACAAACAACCGAGGTTGTTAGGAAGTTATAGACCGGGTGAGCTTAACGCCTGCCTCCCACTAAGACTGCTATAAAAAGTAAAGCAACGCAATAAAGTGCAAAAAAGGTGAGTAGTGCGCTTAAGTCACTACACCCGGTCAACTTTGTTTCGCTCATTTATTACGTTATCACTATTATTCTCAACGACGATGCAATTTCCCAACGAAACGCACCACAAGCGTATTTCGCTTTGTTGCTTGTCAAAGAAGTAAAGCGGGAGAATAATAATCTAAGACAAATTGAATCACGATGCCAAATGTAAAATAGTTTGCATGTGAAGTCTTTATAAAGATACAATACCTTAAATTTCAGTACTATAATTTATAGTGATGGGTTCCCTCTGAAATGTCCACAGGTATGTTCAATTTTGGAAAAGTGTTGTCCGCATGAGCGAAATGGCCAAAATTCTTACAAAAGCAAAGTGCTACAAAAACTTATGATGAGTAGCTTTTAGAAATGACAATACATTTTACCTTGCTACCCCTCGAAAAAACGTTTTAAAATTCTAAATACTTCATAGGATGTATTCAATTTGTAATACATTAAAATATCAGTTTGATAATTTCCATAGTCGTATAACTGCGATTAAAGCATTTTTCTTTGAAATATTATATTCTTTTTATAAACTTACTTAAGTTCCTGTTCTTTAATTGGGTTAACCTGTTTGAACAATGTAATAAAAATAAATATTAAGTTTATTTTTTATTTTAGAATTTTTGTTTCATATCATATATACAAAATTAACTCAAAGAATATAATGATTTATACAAATGTTAAGGTTGTATCCAAAGAATAAACTTAATATGCACTTAAACGACTTTGTTTAAAAAAATTTATATTTTTTATTTTTATAAATAAAATAATCTTTACTGTATTTAAATAATATTATTTACTGTACAGTTTTAAAAAGTATCACAAATTTAAAGTTTTTATACATAGCTATACAAATAAAATTAATATTTTATATTTAACATACCAATTTTAAAATCATTAGGGCATAAACTAGTCCACAAAATAAATATATAACTAAATATGGACTTATTATACAACATATAAAACCAAAATAATCCTTGTTTATCTGACTAACTTGCATCTTCATATAAAAATTTTATGAGGTCGAGTACTTTTCACTACTTGTCCGGGCATGTCATAGACATGTCCACCGAAAAAGAACCATCACTAGTAATTTATCGCAGTGATAAATAATCTTAAGTATAAAATATGGAGTGATTCACAAACAATATTTCAAAAGTAGGCCGTGACAAAAATCACATATGTCAGAGCGTACAATTTTTTAATTTTTAAATGAGACACTTTGGATTTAACACACAGGCGTTCGTAGTAATCAAGGATGCGACTCGTATCTGTCTTTTTCAGTCACAGCTTACTTGATAAACATTTTTTGTGAATCAGTCGTTATCTTAAGCAACAATTATGTATTTTAAACATTTGATGACAATTCATACGATGAAGGGAATACTTCTTTCAAAGATATTGCTTATGGCAACTCTGACAGCATTCTTCCCACATTTCATTACTGCATTTTATTTCCTGATTTTAATTTATTATACTGAATATAAGCTAAAAAAAACAATTTAAAATGTATTATTTTATGTTTATAGAAAATAAATGAAAGAAGGATACTTTTCGCTGCTAGTTGGAAAATTATAATGTTCTTTAGTATGTAAGTTTTATTTTATTTTCATGCCATTTACTATAAATGTTCATATGTATCTCTCGTCTTTTTATAGATGTTATCCAGAACTTGTAGAATAGTAATGTTGGTAACATGTGTTTGACGTATAAAACTACTATTTTTCTGGCTGACGTTTCAATGCTTTATTTTGTCTTTCTCATGACCCTAAAAAACGGATAGAAATAAAAATAAGTAAACTAAAGTGGTAAACAATAGAATTATAGATTTTAAAATGGATTAGAAATAAAATTTCAATATACAGAATGGAATAGTTGCCAAATGTTCACTTTTTTAATCCCATCTCTGTGTATTGTACGAAGAGTGAAATAGAAAAATAATTAGGTGTCTGTTCTTTATTTAAACAATTCTGGACAATGCATGAAGTGGGGTTGCAACAAAATAAAAAGGGTAGCGTCGATTAAAACTTACTGATAATATATTTTAAAAATTGTTGTAGTTGTCCATGTGTATTTTATATAAATAATAAGCTACCTATTATAAAACTTCCAATACATTATTTTTGTACTTAAATGGTTAGTTTTTATAAATTAAAAGGCAAATTTAAAAAAAATATATATTAAATGTGTGCAGAATTAGGTATAATTAGTATATTTAGCTGCAGTAAAATTGATTGTGAACCAAAATCCCTTTATTGTGTTTAGGCGGTACCCCACGAATTTAAAATAATTGCAATATCATCATATTCCCTACTAAACCAAATGAAAGAAACTACATATATGAAACACTCCACGACTCGCACCGAAGGTGAGTTCGGGCTGCGCACTCCAGAGTGGAGTGGAGTAATTAGGCGTAAACGGAGTGCGAATATGATTTTACTCCTTTACAGTTCATCAAATTTCTAGAGGTGCTCGACGCCCAGACAGAGAACGCGCTACGTGTGACTAAGATAGCTATTGTACAGTCTGCTAAACAAGTTATTTTAAATAGTTTTTAATATTTTTAGGTAATTAAATTTTAAAAGTGTGGAATAGTTTAGGGATTAAATTGGTCTGATTGGACTTTCTTAGAACGTTTTTAAAAGCAGCTAAAGATAGTATGTAGAATTGAAAATAATTATTATGCCATAAAAGGTGTTTTGGAATTCCTTCAACCTTTTGAAATTGAGTCAGAAAATATAAATTTTATAGGTTAGCGGAAAATACCTATAATTTTTTTGTAGGCCTTTGTAAATCGTGGAAATAGTTTATATTTTATTTCTACCTTATTAAGGAAAATGGTACCTATTATTAATAACGGTTGTTTCTGAAACATTACTAAAATTTTCGAAATTTTGTTTTTCTACAAAATAATAAACTATACTATTTAGAAAAAAATTTATTTCTCTTATAATTTTATAAAAAATAACAGGGGAATATTTACATTTCTTGATCTATTAAACAAAACGATAAATTATCTCGACGAATGACACCATGTTCTAGTACGAAAGCCAGCTTTACATTTTTGTTGGTGGTTTCATGGGTTTCATATAAATTTTTTGTAATTGTAGTTTACACGTACATATACCTCTTAACACTTGTTTGCTTTATTAAAAAAGTGTGTTGTTGTGATTTACGTCGAAATAAGTCAAAAACAACTTGAAACCCCATATAAAATCAAAAAGGAGAAACGGAAAAAAATTGAGCCTGTAAATGAACACAACTCAGAAACAAAAATAGCTATCTAATAATAAAAAAATAAAATTTGATTCTTGTGCAGCTTCATCTATATCATTAACTGTTTTTGGTTTTTTAATGGTTTTTCTTGGTGATGAAAATTCCGATATCTCACGGTTATCGATTCTTTTTTTCTCTCCAGAAATGCGGACGACAGTGTTTTTAGATACTCCTGTGGCTGCAGCAACACGATCATTTACATTTTTAAATGGTATTGAAGGTGAATTAAAGTTTCCTTCTCTTCTCATAAACTCTATAACATTGGCTATTATTTCGCGAGATTGACTGTTAATCACGCGGCCTCTTAATTTGCTATTAAACTCCATACTTAGGTTCTATTAAACTGTAATGAGCAAAAAACACAAACGAAAATAAAAGAAATGTTTTAGCGAAATTTACATCTGACATTTACGTCTGAATGAAATAGTGAAATACTTGATGCGCAGAGTGTACTTTCATTGCGTAAATCCGTCGGGATGCCTGTCAGTAGTGCTTTCTCTGTCTAGCCGTCGAAAGCCTCTAGAAATTTGATGAACTGTAACTCTCGGAGTGCAATGTCAGTTGTCAATGTGACATACCAGTACTTAAAATTTAATCGTACTTATCAGTAACGACCGTATAAGTTTCTTCCATATTAATGATATTCACGGGAACCAAAAAAAAAACTTATTTACTAAAGAATCAGTCACAATTAACTTATTATCGATTTAAATCACCTTATGCGCATGCCCGATCCACACTCCACTCCACCATCTCCGAACGGTCAAAGAGGAACTTTTATTTTAACTCCTTCCGTACCCGAACGCCTTAGGTACTTTAGGAGTGAATATAGTGAAAAGAGTGCGTAGACCGAACTCACCACGAATGTAAACGAGACATCTCAAATCATTTTAGATTTAGATGGATGGCGCCATTTTTTAAATAATAAACAACGATGCTTACCGTAATTTTAAAATAGAAAACTCTTAGTCCCTCAGTTGTTTTTAAAATTAGTGTATTTTATTTCCCATATTGGTGTTTTAGTAAATTAGATTCCTATCATTGAAAAAGAAGATAACCAGTTGGAAATTTTTTTTCTGTTTTCGATTCATATACTATTTTTCAGAAACTTATACCCTATCAATGACTGATGTGATCATTAGCAATTTCAGTTTTGATTGAGATATTCTGTTTTGTTGTTTAAAATCTGTTTTTAACTGTTCTCATTTCTTTTCGAATGTTAATTTGTATTTAGTAAATCAGATACAGGTGTCCCTTGAAAGGAAAAGGTAATCGTCTGGAAATATATTTTTTTTTTTTTTTTTCGTTTTATATAGTTACTTATATTTTTCAGAAACAATAATTAAGGCTTCCTATTTTTGTAGAGTATACGAAACACGTTTCGAAAATAAAGCGGCATTATTTTTATAGAATTAGACACAAATTCGAACACAAAATATTTTTTGTACACTCACATGGATATTAGCTTATCTACGGACTGACTACAAAACAAAAAAGTATGCTATTGCGTTCAACTGAATGAATATATTTCATATCTATTCTACTCAGCGGTTGAGTGCCAACTAAGCGCGTTTCCGGGTGGTGGATAGGAGAAAGGCCAGATTTTTCTTGGTTAGTGGTAGACATAAGTAGAGTAAGAGAGCCTATAAAGCCCTTAAAATCTTTTGCGAAGGCTACCGCCGCAAACCAACTCCCCCAATCTAGGGTGTAAGGTAACGTACCGACGGATGAATTGTCGCAGGGGCAGATGTAGCACCAAACGCTCCCCTGAGGTAATCTGGCGACACCCTCTTGTATCTAGCCTTGTCGGCGCAGGCGGGGCTCTGCGTCGGTTGACCTTTTCTTCCCTAGCTACTCGTCGGAACCATATGGAATCTACAGTACAAAAACCCAAAGAGACTGGACGTCAACGCTCACCTCCAGCAAAGGGACTGGATAACAAAGTACAACTCCGACGCAAGATACATACTCTGCGAAAGGATGTAAGTTGCTCTCCAAATTATAGAACAGTGGTGCAAGAATCATTCACTGTCTATCAATCCCAAGAAGACAGAAATGGTCCTTTTCACAAGGAAAAGGATGAAAATGGAATTACAGCCTCCAGAACTCCTAAACACAAAACTAAACTTTGCAACACAGGTGAAGTACCTAAGGTCTCACCTTTGACAGCAAGTTAACATGGAACTCACACTTAGAAAACAGAGTCAAGAGAGCATACATCGCATATAAACAAGGCCGCCGAACCTTGGGGCGCACTTGGGGTTTCTCCCCCAGAGTCGTCGCATGGACTTACACGACCTTCATAAGACCTATGGTGCAGTTGTCTGGGTACCGAAAACCCAAACTAGAACAAATTTAAAGAACAGAACAGCATGTCTCAACATAACAGGAGCCATGAAAACCACACCGACCAGAGCCATGGAAGTCATTCTTAGTCTCATTCCCCTTGATATTTATATCAAGGAGGTTACTCTGAAGACAATGATACGCCTCCGCACGGTTGGAATAAAACCTGATATAGGATCTGGTGAGGCGAGACGTCGCTTTTGTCAGGAGGCGCTTGATACGCTCCCATTATTTCAAGCGAACATGGACTCCATCTCACCGAGATATATCTTCCATAAGCCATATAAAGTTATAACAGAACAAATAGAAGAGCCGGAAGTGGCAGGTACGATTCATATCTACACCGACGGTTCTAAAACAAAACAAGGCTTAGGATGTAGAATATACTCCAGATCCTTAAACCTAGGCATAAAATGGGCTGTGAGCAGACAAGCACTATTCACCCTGAACAGACCACGAATTTACTCAAGGTTAGTACTAGAATGTCACGAAGCTTTGGCCGAAGTATCCATCAACAATGTGGTCACCTTAAGATGGATCACAGGTCACGCCACCTCGAAAGGTAACCGTCTTGCTGATTCAATGGCCAAGAAAGCAGTTAACCAAATACTTTTTGGACCTGGTCCTTCTATTTAGCCTAACAAAATCGGTAGGTTACAGACCTAATCAAAGAACATTCCCTTATGAAATTCAAGGAAAGATGGGATGAAACAAGAAACTGCAAAGTTGCCAGAGAGCTTTTAAGTTATCCTGACAACAATACAGCAAACAAATACTTGACTATCACTAGACAGAATCTGCGCTTGGTCACGGGCATTCTGCAAAAAAATGAAATCCACCAATAACACTTTATATTTTGGACACCCAACTACTATTTTTTTTTTAATTTCAAATAAGTAACAATCCAAATAACTGTCAGTATATTTTCAGTTATTGAGATTAAATATACATTAAAATGAGTTATTTTTGTGTAGAATCGATAAATAATAGTATACTTATTTGGTTCACATTTTGATGAAAAAAAAAAAAAATATATATATATATATATATATATATATCAATTAAGAGTATTAAAATCAAAATTCTAAAAGGACAGAGCACTTGTCTTTCAGGCCTAAAGTCCAGGTTCGAATCTGAGTTGGGAAC